ATTGGGGAAAATGTGACAAAGCTGCCAGCCACAACCAGAAAGTTGTTCAGCATGAGGGTAACTGCTCTGAAGAAGTAAATTATGTGTGTAGCGAATGTGGGAATGTGTTTAGAGGAATTTTTAACCTTACGCAACATAAGAGAGAGCACACTGGAGAAAAGCCCTATGAGTGTAGTGAAAGTGGGAAGTCATTCAGGCAAACCTCTGCTGTCATTGAACATCAGAGGGTTCACACTGGAGAAAAAACCTATGAATGTACTGTTTGTGGGAGGGCCTTCCGAAAAAGATCTCACCTCATTAAACACCTCAGAATTCACACTGGAGAAAAGCCCTATGAGTGTAGTGATTGCGAAATATGCTTCAGGGAAAGTAGTACTCTTGTTCAACACCAGAGAGTTCACACTGGAGAAAAGCCGTATGAATGTACTCTTTGTGGAAAGTCCTTCATACAAAGGTCTATCCTCACTAAACACTAGAATTCACACCTGGAAAAGCCCCATATGAGTGTAGTGATTGTGGAAAGTTCTTCAATGTGAGCTCTGCTCTCAATACACACCACAGAGTTCACACCGGAGAAAAGCCATATGAGTGTAGTGATTGTGGCAAGTCATTCAGGCAAATCTCCCCTCAGAGAGCCTGGAGAAAAGCCATATGAGTGCAGTGATTGTGGAAAGTCATTCAAGCAAATCTCGGCTCTCAGTGTACATCAGAGAGTTCACACTGGAGAAAAGCCATATGAGTGCAGTGAATGTGGAAAGTTCTTCACTGAAAGCACTGCTCTCAGTAAACACCACAGAGTTCACACTGGAGAAAAGCCACATGAGTGTAGAGATTGTGGGAAGTCCTTCAGGCGAATCTCTATTCTCACAGAGCACCGGAGAGTTCACACTGGAGAAAAGCCATATGTGTGTAGTGACTGTGGGAAGTCCTTCAGACAAAGTTCTACCTTGACACGGCACCGGAGAGTTCATACCGGAGAGAAACCTTATGAGTGTAGTGCATGTGGGAAGTCTTTCAGGTACAATAGTCACCTCCTTTACCACAAGAGAGTTCATACTCTATAAAAGGCATGTGAGTGTCAGGATTGTGGGGAGTCCTGCAAACATAGCTGTACCCTCATATGACACCACAGAGGTCATATTGGAGAAATGCCACATCAGTGTACCTTCTTTTATAATAGATTAGTTCATATTTTTCATAATTTTATAGGCAGTATAAGGTTTATACATTTTAAACACTGGTTTCCTTCATGTTACACAGGTGATTTGAGATTCAACACTAACATTTATGTGAATATGTAATCTCTCTTTTTGCTGAGTAGTATTGTGTTCTATGGATAACCACTCTGTCTATTGGTCTGTCTGTGGTTTTGGTTAGTTCGACATTCGGAGTTTTATAAATAAATCTGCTAGGAATATTTGAGTTCAGTTCTTTCTACAGGTAAATGCTTTACTCATCAAACTGTTGCAGTGTTGGTGAATGTTTTACATTGTAAGATATATAGAACTGTGACCCCCAATGGTTATTCCCTTTGCCTCCAACCCACCCACAGTAATGAAAATTCCAGTTTTTCCAAAAGCCTGCCAGCACATCTGATGGTTAATTTTTTCAATGTGTATACTGTGAACCCATTTTGGTTTTAATAATGCTTTCCTAAGAATTTTTGATGGTGAGCATTTCTTCACACATTTATTTACACTATCTTTATCTCCTTTGTTATAATGTCTGCCCAAGATCTTTTGCCTACGTTTACAATGAATTTATTATTCTAACCAGTAGATGGAGAGTGTCTAAGACACGTGTTTGAAATTCGCTCATTCCTCAATGACTCAAGAGACTTCTTTGCTGTATGGAACTATTAGGTTTAAATTATAGAAATTTTTCTCTCTCAATTTTTAGTTTATTTACAATTCATAGTCCACTTGTACCATATATTTAATAAGTATAATCTGCATTGTTAACTTTCTCCACCACCCCTTTTTAAGTTTAAGCATTCAATACTACATTAATTGAGGTATAGGTTTCTAGTATTTGTCAATTTCCCTGGTGCAAATACTCTGTCACCATGTTCAAACTGCCAAAACGATGTCCTTGAACATGGACATGGGAAAATATTTCAGTAGCACATCATTCTAGTTTATTTCCAACATGCTAATAAAGTAGCAATGAATGTGCTCAAGAACATCCTATATAATAAAAGGCAAATATGCAAATTGTCTCTGCAACCAGGAGCTTGATCAGGGGTTGGGGCTGGCCAGCAGGCCAACTGCCCTTGGCCCTCCCCACAGCCAGCCCTGCTCTTGACCGCCCCCTCCCCCCCATTGGGGCAGGGCAGGCCAGCTAACTACTTGTGGCCCCTCCTTCCAGCCAGCTGAGTGATCAGCCCCAATCAGGGTGGGCCAGCCAGACCCCACCTGTGCACAAATTCGTACACCAGGTCTCTAGTTGATAATAAAATGGTAAAATTAGCTTTGTGCAGTGGCAGTATCATAGCCAAGGAGATTTATCCGAGGGAAGATTATTGCTAATTGGGAAAAAAAGGCAAAAAATGTATAAAATGATAAAATTATACTGAAGTGGCAAGTTTTAAATGTTTTTTAAAGTTTGATATAAGTATAATTGATTTAAAACATACATTTTAACTACATATATATTTTTTTAAATTTTTTTATTGGTTTCAGAGAAGAAAGGGGGAGGAGAGAAACATCAGTGATGAGAAAGAATCATCACTGCTTCTGGCACACTGCACACTGGGTTATCAAGCCCTCAGCCTGGGAATGTGTCCCAACCAAGAACTGAACCATGAGCTCCTGGTTTATAGGTCGATAGTCAACCACTGAGCCAGGAGGCTAGGCAACAATATATATTTTTATTGATATTAAAGAGGAAGAAAGAGAGATAGAAACATCCATGATGAGAGAGGATCATGGATCGGCTGCCTCCTGCACACCTCCTGCTGGGATGGAGCCCAAAAGCTGATCATGTGCCATGACCAGTAATTGAACCCTGACCTGGTTCATAGGTTGGTGCCCAACCACCGAGCAACACTGGCCAGGTTAAAACACAGTTTTTAACTTACACTTTTGATGTTTCTGTACAGGCTTGCATCCCTGAAACCAAATTCCTCTTCCCCTTTTCAGTGCTTTCTAATTGGCACTTGGAATTACTGATGCAAGGACCTAGTCTACCTTTGTAATAGCTTATTTCATATTATATCCATATAAAGAAAACACTTATGAAACCCCATGAGTCCTATTCTAGCCTTCCATCACTATCTGTCATGGTAGTTCTGGTATCTATCTATTCTCAGGTACATTAATGGGTTATTTTACTTAAAATCCATGATATAACCCTAGCCAGTTTGGCTCGATGGGTAGAGCTTCAGCCTGCGGACCAAAAGGTCCCAGGTTCGATTCCGGTCGAGGGCACATGACTGGGATTCGGGCTCAATACCCAGTATGGGGTGTGCAGGAGGCAGCCGATCCATGATCCTCTCTCATCATGGATGTTTCAGTCTCTCCCTCTTCCTCTCTCAAGTCAATAAAAATATTTTTTTAAAAAAAACCCATGATACATTTTGCCCTGGCCGAGTAGCTCAGCTTGTTAACACAGCATGTCAATAATGCCAAGGTTGCCTGTTCCATTCCCAGTCAGGGCCTGTACAAGAATCAAACCAGGAATATATAAACTTAGTGAAACAACAAATGGGTGT